TTTGGAATCGATTGGTCTATTACGCTTCCGGCGTATCATAGACTCTGACCTTCAAGGACTTCACATTGGAGCATTTGCAGCTGAATTATATCATAGGGTCAGTGTATTCATCTGGCAACTGATTTGCAACATTATGCAACTGAATTATCTCTTGAACTTTAAGTTCACATATTTATTTTAACGAGGATCTAGATAATTCATAATTAACCTCACACATAATTTTCAGCTATCAATCATCTCTCTCCCTAATGTTAGAAAATCTAACATTCATTCCACCCTTATTTGGAAGTTCATCTCTGTGCGTGGTGGAGTAATTAAAATCATAACCGCACATTCAACATTTTAGATGAAAATTATATGGTTCCTGACCCTGAACCAATTTTAATGGGGAAGCCTTGTTGGTTTGATGCATACATGTGTTGCTACATGTTAAACAAAATTATCTCATACCAAATCTTATCTGGGAGTTTTTGTTCTCATAACCATGATTTAGCTATAATTGGAGGCATACAATTTCTGCTAAATAAACCAGCATTATCAATATAATTTCATAATTTGGAACTATTTCAACCTTACAAAAATCAATTTGTAAGTTGACAACAGAATACATGTGACCATCGCATAAATGCATTAATCATATAGTTGCAAATGATCCACATGACGGTGAACGGGCCCATATTCACCCTTTTATATGTTCCAAAAATTTTAGGGGATTACAGTCCCGATCTTAGCTGGTACAATGATCATTTTATCAAGAGAACAAGCAACACAAGAGAATTCTTGAAGAATCTTTATTTCTTCATCATACAAGTCACCTGAATTCTCAATCACGTTTGCATCACATTTAATCGGAATGGTCAATCAGTCATGCCAACTGATCTTTATTTTAGTACACTTATAATTTACTTTTACATGTGATTTCATCAGCATGTACATGTTTGTATGGAACAAACAAGAGGAAAAGTGGGGTAATCTTTTACATAAACATTTATAACCCTCTTCGGTTGTAGTGATTTATAGTCTCAATATTTATTTTCAATTCATCCGAAACTTAAAAAGTTTCTTTTGAGACTTACTACAACCCCAATATTATTCCTCTGATAATAGCACAACTCGTTAGAGCTTGCAATTAATTTTATGTACTATTACATATTGCATGACACCATCCCTATGTTGAGCATCTCCTTCAAGGAGGAAATTATATTATTATTGTCATGGTCAAAATCATTACGAGCAAGACGTCTTTCTTGCTTTACTTTTGTTGTACCATAGGTACACAACCAATGACAAATTTGTATTGCCACACAATAATGACCACAATCCTTATAGGCAAGAACTATTTCTTTCTTTTGCCCTTTCGGTAGTTCATACCATAGTGACGTATAAAACGTACAATACAATTAGTCATTTCTGCCAAATAAAATTTATTTCCTCTCAAATCTCCCGTAGAGATGAGAAGTGACATGTATCATTTTTCTCAAACCTTCCATAGAGGTGAGTTGTGACATATATCCAATCCATAATGATTTTATCACATTTGGACCCATTCTCTTATAGAATGGTCGAGCATTCACGATACTCATTACAAGTCACATTCTCTTCAAGGATTGGACTAATTATTTATATGTACTTCATAAATTTGCATTATAAGCACATTGTCATGGCTTTAAAATTCATCATATTTCCATGACACACCTCAACATCACTTTGAAAGATTAAGTGTACCTATCACTTTATCTTTGTATCATGATAGAGGATTTATAAATTTGTCAAATTATTGGGTTGACAACATTCACAAGTCTAATGACCTTTCATACCATTTTGATAAAAATTGCCTTCACATTTTGAAGGACTATTTGAAGAACTCATAGTGTTCTTCCTTTTATCATTACCACAATGATGACTATTATAATTATGTCCCTCCACGCCCTTATTCATATCATTAATCATTTTTCATCTTTCAGACTAACATTCACTGCTACCACATTCGTATGATTGAATGGAGCAAGTTAACAGGCGGATTTCAGAGTTATTACATGTTGCTACCACATTCTTTTCAAGGAATGAAGCAAATTCAATAGAACGAATTTCAAGACTTTTCATCAAAGCCTAGTCATCATTATATCATCATTATGGTGCATTGACTCAAACTCAATGTCTTATCCATATAAGGCGTTTTACGTCATAATTCTATGGGACTTGAACCCAATCACGGTGCATCAAAACTCAAATTGATGTCTTACCCTTTTGGTGCGATAGAACTTGAATCTATCGTCTTATCCCCAAATATTTTTATTATGATGCATCCGGACTTTAACCTGATGTCTTGCCCTTTTGGTGCGATGAAACTTGAATCCATCGTCTTACCCTTAACCAACGGTATAATAAATCGAAGTACAACATGACTCATCCTTTGAGTCTTTCAAAACAATCAAAATAACATTCAAATTCATGCTATTAAAATTTTATACCTTCTTCTATTTAAGAAATTTTGTATAGCATGTCATATTCAACCAATAGTAGTATATGTCTTCGATTCCTGATAATTGTTAGTGACTGAATACTATTTTTATTCTAAATCATAAAAATATTCTAGAAAATACATACCTGATTTTATGCATATAATACCTTGATTCTCATAACGAGATCAACCAAAACATGAGTTAAAGAAAAACTAAAAATCAATCTTAATTGACTAAAGACTCATGCTGATAACGTGTTATAAAATCCAAGCTCATAAGAGATATAATTATAAAGAGAAGAAGAGAAGAGATGTAGATAGAAGAAGAGGAATTTTCTTATTATTCAAGTGTATTCAAGTCTCATATGTATCTATATTACAATAGTGAATGAACAACCCTATTTATAGAGTGAGAAATCACTCCAAAGGTCACCATATTAAGTATCATAATAAATAGATACATTCTTATCCAAAAAGGTTCATGTAACCTAGTGAATATGAATGGTTGTTCATGTACCAATCTTATGGACTATCCACTCATTCAATGAATTTATAACAGGAAGATGTTAAATTCAAAGTTAGATTATGAAAATGCCCTCCACTAATTTTTTAAGTTAAAATTTTTTTTTACTAATTTTTAAAATTAAATCAATAATGACAATTAAACTAGACCAAATACATGATTAGATGTTACAACTTATCATTTTCCATTAATGAATTTGATTGGTCAATTCATGAAAAATGGTTATTCTCTTGTGTTTAAAGATAATTAATGCAAGATTTAGAATAATTATTTACAATTTCATTACAATGCATTCAAAAATGAAATTGTAGATGATTCATAACTTTGTCACGAAAAAATTTGTCACTTAAATTTTCATGGTTTGACACTTCTCGAGCAAAAAGACATTGTGTCAGACCTTTGTGATATACATACGAAGAATAAGGTAGATAATACTTCTATCATATCTTTTAGATGTGTCAAATCAAGAAGAGAAAGAGGAATAGGAAGAGGAAGATGTCCCTCAAGGATGAGGAGAAATCTCATATTGAGACGATGAAGAATCACTTTTAAGAAGAACAAAAATGTTGAGTGACATTTATCAAAGATGCAACTTTGTCGGTGTTAAGAAAGAAAATTATGAGGAGGCAACAAAGCATGATGTTTGGAAGAAAGCCTTGGCAGAAAAAAATCGGAAGATTGAGAAAAATAAAACTTGGGAGTGTGTGAGTATACCCAAATTAAGAGAAGTTGTAAGTCTAAAATGGATTTGCAAAATCAAACTCAATCAAAAAGGAGATACTCAAAAACGCTAGAGAAAAATGAAATTCAGTTGCAATTATTGTCATACAGGAGAACAACTTATTGACATCTTCACCACAACACTTCCAAGTGAAAAGTTTTGTCATCTTCGAAAAGGCATTGGAATTTTCAAGCAAATGCATTAAGGGGGAGTGTTGGAATTAATGCATTATGTTTAGTATTTCAATATTGTCTCTTAATTTCTCAAGAAGTCTTTTAAAATTTTGTAATACATGTATCTAGTAATTTGTGATACATGTATCTAGTTAATTGTGAAAGACTTTTTGTTTTCTATTTTGAATACTATAAATAGTGATGTAGTTGATGTCACTAGTGTCCTTAAGTAGCCTATAATAAACTTGAGTAATACTATTTTCTTCCTATGAGAGGCTTAATATAGTAGTATGTTGACAAACGAAAAAATGCACGTGGAAGAAGGGCCAAGAATGATTGAGGCATGAAGCACTCAAGCTTGAAGAAAGCAGATGAGTGCTCGGGTGCGATGGAATCTATTGGGGAACAAGGTGGTGAAAGCTCAAGAGGCTACCAAAGACGTCTAGAAGGAGCTGTCATCTCACCTTGGAGGCCTCAAGGCATGTTGGATTTAGGTGATGGGTGGTTCTAAAGAGGTCCATGGAGGCGGCCAGTAGACTTGAGGGATACTATAATTGATCTTAAAGATTCCTTCTTCGCAGTAAATATGAAGGGACTCCCACAATTTATAAAAACACCTAGTGAGCAAGTTCATCTAGAAAAGTCAGTGTACTAGTAATTAAAGTTTTCCAAGTGTGGTGAATCAAGTGAGTCTTTTTTAATATATTACACAAACATAGCATGCTTGCTGGCTGTTGGCACTTGTGAGAGTCAAGCCACACTTCGGAATAAGTTTTAACCTGACTGTTATCAAGGGGATCGGATGCTATTGCTAGGTGCTGCAGGTGGTGTATAACGAGTCTAGTTCAATGACACCATGTTTCTGTCAACCTGATGGTTTGGCCAAATTAAGTGAAAGGAAGAAAATGAAAGTACATAGCTTAAGAAATGATTACATTGTATGAAGGGTATTATTGATTCATTTTTGTTGCTACATGTGATATTGTCACTTATATATATGTAATATTTGTTCCAATTTTAACCAACCCTCAACTACTTGAGGAGTTCAAGAGTTGCTTATGTAATTCTTATCAGAATAGTTGTCATTTAGAATTCCATTTTGCTATTTACCTTTGATTTTTACTGTTAAAAAAGTAAGGGAAAAAAGAGTAAACAGGGAGAATTTTGCAGCACGCAGGAGATAATAGAGCGATATAAGAGGCATACTAAAGACAGAGTTCAACCTGAAAACCAAGCTGGGCCACAGTATCTACAGGTAGATTCTAGTTTTATGTCTCCTCCGTAGGATGTAGTAGAAAACAACTAGTATTTTCTCGCAAAAAAAAAGTTAATAAAGGCTGACTGTAGCTTTACACAACAATGCAGTATATGCAGCATGAGGCAGCAAATTTAATGAAGAAGATAGAGCTCCTTGAAACAGCGAAAAGGTTCAATTAAACCTTACTCCAAAAGTTGTTGCACTGTCATTCCTCTCCTTTTTTTAGTAAGTTTTTAAAGATAAACAAATGAAAATTTTCATCAGGAAGTTCTTGGGAGAAGGTCTGCAGTCCTGTACCCTTCAAGAAGTACAACAGATAGAAAAACAGTTGGAACGGAGTGTTGGCACCATCCGGGCACGAAAGGTTTCTTGATTATATTGAAGTCTAAGAAATGATCTTGTTCTTCTTATGAAGTCTCAGCAACTTAATATTTATCTTATCTTGTTCTTTTCAGCTTCAAGTTTTCAAGGAACAGGTTGAGCGACTAAAAGAAAAGGTAAGGCCACACTGAGTGATATATTTTGAGCTTTAATTCACACAAAGGTTAAAAAAAAATAACAATCTATCTATAGGCCTTACTTTGTCGAATGTGAATGTCTATCGAAGAATTTCCACTTGTTTTCTTTAAGCTTCCCATTCTTATAAATACAGGAGAAAATCCTTGCTGCTGAAAATGCAGAACTGAGGGAAAAGGTATAATTTACATTAACCTTAGATCCATCTTAGTATAGTCTTCTTTTCTCCAACTCATAGTCGGATATAAAATTAACTTATCTAGCGCCTATGTTTTCTGTTAGTTTGGTAGTCTTCAACAGAGAGAAACACCAAATGTAGAGAAGGAAGGAGAAGCTCTTTGTATAGATGGTAGCGAAAAATCAGATGTTGAAACTGAATTGTTTATAGGACTACCGGAGTGCAGAGAAAGACGTCTCTAAAAGAAATTGATTTGGTGAAACATCTGCAGTTAAAAGGGGTATATAGTCAATTGTCAAATAGTGCTAATGCTAAATAATTTGTGCATTTGAGCAAAGCAAACTAATTAGGCTTATGTCTCTTAGGCGCAGCTGATTGAACTTTTAATCATCTATGAGATGGTTTGTACTAAGGGTATGTATTAGTTTTATTACGTTTGATTGACAGTAATCTTAGTAATGAACTCTTCTGCTTACTGCAGCTTTCATATTTTCGAGACAACTATAGTCTATATTACTCTAAACAATATTCTTGCTTGCCTCTTAAGAAATTCATCACCGCATGATCACAATTAGAATGTGATTTCATTCTTGCCGCGGACACAGTGTATGTAGGCTGCATTTACCTTGGTTATGTCAGCTAATTGGTCGCGGATGCCTTAACACAAGTAGCCTTTGTTGATGGCCTCATAAGGGCAATCTATGTAAGACATTAGACATGTTTCAAACAATTTTAGTTGTTGCGACACTAGAAATGATGAGAATAATGTCAAACACTGAGGAGTTGTTTAGCTTTGTATCTTTTCTCGGCTTTTATATCCAACTTTGAATAAGGTTCCTTTAATTATCAAAACCTGGTTTTATTTATTCGGTAAGATTAAGACGTCTCAATTATATCAAACTTATGATGCAACAAATTAAGTATTCAAGGAGAAATATTTTTTTTGCACTGTAATTTCTACATTAGTAATTCGAACATATTACTCATGGTCGTTTAGGTGGTTTAAGCGGGCCCAAATTATAAAAAGATAACAAAGACTTAAAACTTATGGCTCAAAGGCAATACTGAATATTAGGTATGTTTATAAATTATTTCATTAAATATACAAATGAAAAGATACAATTTTTTTAAAAAAATAATATTATTACAACATTAGTGGTAGGTATATTAGCCTCTCTATTTTCTATAGTAGGAGTTTCAGTACTAGTAATAGTAGCATCAGTACAAGTTACATCGTTAGTAAGAACAATTTTATTATTATATGTTCTTTCTTTTACTTCGATCCTTTGTTTTGCTCACTTAGTTACTCTTTCCGTCTGGTATTATTTGTCATATTATTCTTTGAAATATTACCTTTGTTAATTCAAATTAACTATGCATTACCAATTAATTTTGTGAGAAAATAGGGGGAAAAAATTATAAAGTTAAAAACAGGAGTGTATATGACACTTGCTAAAATTATACATTACTATATAACATGCATTTCAAATCATAATTATATGTCACTTGAGTTTTTTAATCTGAAAAACTTAAAAGCAAAAAACTTGTACTAGTATAATCCATAATTAGAATTAGAAATTAAAGACCCCAACCATGGATAATGTTACTCTCAACAGCCATGTTCCTTGACCCTGAGGCTCCATCTGCAGCCATATACTGATGATACCTACAGTTTTACATTAATGTTAAAGCTAATTAGGTCAAGTAAAATGACTTTCGAAAAAACAAAAGAAAAGACGTTTTTTTAATGTGAATTATCATAAGTTGAGTGAGCGCGATCAATTAATAGATGAAAGTAATGTAGGTGCATACCCTATTTGAAGAACTGGATCAGGTAAATCACAGTCCATGTGATTTGATTGAGAATGGTGGACATGAAAGGTGCTGCTTCCTGCTTCATCTAAAGATGCATTACAATTACTCCATGGAAAAGGAACACCTTGTCCTTCACCCTCAAACTGTCAACATACAACAAAGAACATTCAAACATATGCACTCGCTTGCTCTGATATTTTTAAAGAATTCGAGCAATATTATGGAGTAGTACCGATGATAGTTCAAGAGAAACCTTAATCTTCAACTGCTTGTTCACATCACCAAGATGACGCTCCTGATAACATGAATAAAAATCAATTACCAACGTAAATGAATTTAGAATTTTTTTTTAAAAAAACATTTATATAATATACTTAATTTTAAAAAGAAATTATGAATTCACGTGTATCAAAGTGAATATACCCCCTTGATAATTAACCACCAAGATGTATCATATACATCATTGAATAAACCTCAAACTATTTCAACCCAACTTAATTTACTCTACGACTATAATTATTTAGGTGGTATTCCGAATAGCTAGTTTGGAAAGGAAGAAATTAGTCATTCAGCATTTTATACATCTTACCTTTCTACGAAGCTCCTCCATCTGTTCCATCATTATTTGTGTCTACAAAATGTAGAAACAAATTCTTAATATTTTATGATACAGCTCGACTTACGAGACAGAAAAGGTAAATCCAAATTTAGTGGACCTTAAAAGAATTAGATTTGAATACATGAGGCAAAGAGAAGCCTCATGGCTCAAGCAACTAATATCAATTGTGTGAACACGATATAATAAAGTTTTTCATATATCATATTTAACAACAATGGCAAAAAGATGGCAATTTAGTATATACCTTTCTTTGTCTAGCTTGTGCAAGTGCACCTTCAAGTTGTTTTTCAAGATTTTGCAACTCCTTCACACTTAGTGCTCCAAGATCTTCACCAAGCAAGTGCCTTCATATGTATTATTATACCAATAAAAAAAACATCTCAAAAAACTTAAACACACTTAATTTCAAGGATATATATATATATATGTGTGTCAAAATTATAATATAATTATGTCAAATGAATAAGCAAAAATGACATAAATAACCTTTGAGTTCGTTGAAGTGCTTCAAACTTGGCCTTTAATTTAGAGACCTCTTGGTACCAGCTCTAAATTTACAACAAAAATAAAAAATTTATGCAAAACATGATAAGTAAAAGTTAGTAAAATCCTAGATGAAGCTACAAACCTGTGTTTCTCTTTCACCACAATTGTCTTGAGGATTAAGGCAACAACGTTGGTACCTCTCAAGGGTTTTAGTGATACTGCCAACAAAACAAACATAATATTCAAAATATTACTTTTCTTTCCAAATCTTATTCTTATTGTTTCAACTAATTAAGTGACACGATTAAGGAGAGATAAAACATAATTAATGGTAACCAATACTCTTACTGATTTCAAGGCTATTAAATAATGCCTTGTTGAGGGTAAAAAACACTCAAAAGACATATAATATTACATAAAACATGTAAAGGCATCAACATAAAATTTGTGATTTCGACTTGAAACGAATTTTAAGAATATAAAAAAAAATTTAAAATTTGTGATTTTAAATTATAAATTATGGATGTGTGAAAGTGTCATTTATTTTGCGATCATAAGGTCATATTGAAAAGTAAATTTAAAAAAAAAAACAAATACAAGACACACTCCTTTTATAAATGGAATAAAGAAAGTTAAAACAAATAAATTGGAATGAAGCGAGTACTGCTAAATAAGGTGTATGGGAGTCAAGCTCATACCAAGTTTAATTTCCACTATCATATTTAGCACTATATGTAAGCTACAGCCTATTATGTTTAATAGTTTAAATATTTTGATTATTATACACGTTAATATGATATCAAAGCAGAGAAAAATTCCAAATTCAAATCCTACGGCCACCACTTTAAAAATAAAATTCACATATATAACCATGAAAAAGACTCATCAGGCTCGACCATCCATTCTACCCCAAATCAAAAAAGAAAAATAAACACAAGATCAAACAAACAAACTATTGATTATATAATGGACAAAAAGGAGGCATACATTAGAAATTAAAAAGACAAAAGCTGGAAGAGTACATTACACAAGGATTAAAATAGCAAAAGTCTTCTCATTTCTATTCATTTGCTCCATTTTATTTAATTGGCCATTAGTACAACAAGTGGATGTCTTTTTCCTTCTTCTAAGTTCCAACCTTCCATATTTGGAAAGTGGAAAAAGACTTAGCAAATATAAGTGGAAACAGAAATTCATTTTGACAATTCTTTAAGGATAATTAGATAGAATATAATTATATAAACAATACTATTTAGACATTGAATTAAGGGCTTAATAGCTTTTTGTACTACTTCAGACATCCCATATTAGTTGGGGGAAAGTGGAATTAAGGGCTCTCTATAGATTAACATGTAAACATGAAAGTGAACAACTAATATGAACGTATGGAGTACTATTCAAGAAATTAAAACAAGTTTTTCATTTTGCAACACATTTGCTCCATACAAAACCCTAATTCTAAACAAAAGTGTTACATGGTAGAACAAATGTGATTATGAACACAAGAAATTATTAGTTGGACACCATTTTTTTTTTTTGGAAAGACAACAAAAAAAATTGAGCAAAAAAGGAGTCCTCTTTTAACACTGCTATTACCCCAAGATATTGATGTGTATGAGTTTAAAAAAGTTACCAATAACAAAAAAGCATTTTTACATTAACACTATCATTCTTCAATAAAACAATAACAAAAAAATGATATCAAGAAAACTGAAGAATATGAAAAACTCATTTTTTTGTTGGTAATATGAGTTGGTAATACATATTGAAAAACTCAAGAATCTCATAACACTCATCAGTAATAAATTTCACTAAAATGGAAAGAAAAAAGAGATCTTAATCAGTTCTTGGGGTATGGGAACTGATAAAGAAAACTCCTTTTTTCATATGCATAAAAAGTAGCAATCAGATTATATACTAACCTGCAAAACTGATAAATGCAAGAAATCTCAAATATGAACAAATTCCTTTTTAACAGGCATATGCCACTATTTTTTGATGTGCAGTTTAGTACAATACTCTCTTTTACACAAAGGATTTGGTCATAACAGAACAAAATGTATGTGTTTGGTATATGAAGTAGAAATCATTGAAAGGACTTCAAGATCTATGGATGAAAAGGTATAAAGTAGACAAAGTTTGAAACTTTTTGATGTTTTATAACCATTGGACTAACAAGTGTTCCAAAAAACAGCAAAAGCATTAAAGAAAAAGATGAAAGGAAATAGTAGGAACAAAATGGAGAGAAACCCTAGATCTTTCACATTTGTCCAAAAGAGTTGGAAGAAGAAGTTTCTAGACCTGGTCAGTTCTTACTCTGATCTTTTGATTTTGTGGATTGACCATTGAAACGTGTCAATATCCAATTGGTAGAACCAAAAACCCCTTCTCATATTCATGACATTTTGATCAAACATTAAAATGAAAGAAGAAAGAGAACTCAAAGAGAGATACAAATCTGAAAACTCCACTTAACAGACAAGAGATAAAGATAAGTTGGTGCTTGTGTAAAGTGCTGCAAAAGCCCATACCAATTTAGCAAGTCTATTTATCCAACAATTTATTTTATTTATTTTAAAAAAAAAGTTGAATTAAAAACATAAAATCCACTCCCACAAAAACAAAAAACAACTGACCTCACTGTCTTTCACTCTCTCTGTGTTATTATCTTTCTTTATATATATGATGATCCCCATAAAAAAAACATAAAATTGTAATCTTTTTATGATTTAAAGAACCCCATTTCAAGAATTAGCTAATTAGATCCTCACAAAGTAATAAACTAGACACACTTTTCATGTGTTAAAAAGCTTAGTACATATTTATATGATGAACCTCATATGAAAACAAACATGAAGTTGTAATCTTTTTATGATTTAGAAGAACCCCATTTTCTAGAATTAGCTATTAAGAGCCCCCACAAAGTAAACTTGACAGACTTTTCATGTATAAGAAAACTTAGTTACTATGAACCCCGTATGAAAATATACACATAGTTATAATCTTTTTATGATTTTTGAAGAACCCCATACGAAAAAAAAAAAACTTTGTAATCTTTTTTGTGATTTAGAAGAACCCCATATGAAAAAATAACATAAAGTTGTAATCTTTTTATGTTTTAGAAGAACCCCATATAATAAAAAAACCATAAAGTTAGTAATCTTTTTATGATTTAGAAGAACCCCATATGAAAAAATAACTTAAAGTTGTAATCTTTTTATGATTTAGAAGAACCCCATATGAAAAAATAACTTGAAGTTGTAATCTTTTTATGATTTAGAAGAACCCCATATCATCAAAAATTATTTATTACTAATAATTAAGAGCCCATACAAAGTAAACTTGACACATTTTTCATGTATATATATAAAAAAAAAAGATAATATATATATGTGTGTATATACCCTGCACTACCAAACTCATAGAGCTTTCCACGACTAGAGAAGATGATGAGAGCAACTTCAGCCTCACAAAGCACTGATAATTCATAAGCTTTCTTCAACAAACCATTCCTCCTCTTAGAAAATGTCACTTGACGGTTGATTTTGTTCTCTATTCTCTTTAGTTCCACTCTCCCTCTCCCCATTTTTTTCTTCTTCTATTCCTAGAGCTAGCTAATTCTATCAAAAAGATTATTTATGTTATGATCAGTAATGAATAGGGGAGGTGGGGTTAGCAATAAGTGTAAAAGTGTACTACATAATTCCCCTTCTTCCTTATAAGAAAAAAAAAGGTTCAATCTTGGATATCTCTTCTTGCAACAAAATGGTAACCTAATAATTCTTCTTTTGCTTCATTCTTTTATATAAAAAAAAATCTTCTAAGGAAAAAAAAATTGCTCTATTTTTTCCTAAAAAAACTCATTTCTTGTAATTGTAAGAAACTTTGTTACCTTCTCTTTTAGGGTAAAAGAAACCTGGTCACAGACCAATAGCAATTTATTTTCATAAAAAAAAATATTGAATTTTCAATTTCAAAGTAATGATGAAAAAAGTTAATAAGTGGTCCAAGTAATTAGGTTCAATGAATTCAAAAGGTCCAAGTTTCAGATAGTTTCTGATCATCTGTGTGAAGACATAACAAAGTTTGATAGTAGCATCCAACTAATGTCTTGGACCATCTTATTAATTGTTGAGAGACAAAGGCACACATCAACTGTTAATTTTTTGTCAAGAATTTTATTCAATATTTTTTTAAAAAAAATGCATATGGGCTGATTTAGCAACCATAATTTCTTTTAGGGGCTAATAAAAAGGTATATTTGTTAAGATTTCATGCTAATTGCCAAAAGGATACTAATTATCTAAAAAGATAAGAAACCTATAGCTTGTTCTATTTATTGCCTAGTGATAGCAAAGGGTTGTTAAGGAAAAACTTGTCTTGTAGTAGGATGTATTTAGGTATTCCTAGGCTTATGGTGGTTAGATAATAATTACCAAGAATTTAGCAATCAATTAAGGAATCATAAATCATAGTTAAATGGACAAGTGTTATATCCTTTAAGAGAACTATTTACCATATTGCACTTAATTCATTTTTAAGTGAATTTAAACAACATATCGTCTATAAATTATTGACTTTAGTTTTTTATACACAGATAATAATAAATATTTTTTAAACTATCAAATTAAAATATTTCACATTGGTTGTAAATGGTAGCAAATGTGGTTTCGCTAAATCTTCTAACACAATGTTACCCTTCTAGGTTTAAGAGTTTAGTCTCCATCTTATGTATCCCTCTTCTATCAACAAGTTGTCCTCCTCGTCTTTGATGCACTTCATTTGACAAAGGTTCTTCTATTTCACCTTGTTTAGCTTATACATAAATCAATTGAAGAAAGTAGAAAAATTAACCCAAAATAAAGCGCGGCCAAAATGTGACTTTACAAGTCTTCAAATTTAATTTCCACGGTTCAAATCCAAGACGTTAGAAAATCAGGTTGATACAACAATAAATGAAGCATTAAATATTGATTATAGATATTCATATTATCACAGTGAAGTTCTTTATTTGTTGCGATGTCTTCTCAGACTTTTCATAAGTCTTTCAAAGACTAATATCAATGAGCATGAAAATAAATCTTCCACTCAAAAAAATGTGAAAAACATTAATTAATTTGTAGAAAGAGAAATGAAAAAGCAAATTTAAAAAAAAAAGTGTGGAATTAAAGAGATGTTGAGAATATGTTGAAGGTGGGGGATCAATAGCAACCATCAATTAGTAACAATGTACAAACTTTACTCATTGTTTTAAGTTCCTACAACTAAACAAATTGATGAAATTGAAGTCCTATGTGGTATTTTCATATAGTTGCTGACTATTCCCATGACCCACCCATCACATGTCTTAATTAGAGCCTACCAATGTGAGAACATGTATCATTTGAACATACGATTTAAAATCAATGTTTGAATATTTGATTTTGAATTATCATTTGAAATTATAATCTTAAATCCCAACTCTTTTCAAATAAAATAATAATTGAGATTTAAAATTATGATTTCAATTTTTTTAAATGTAAAACTTAATTTGTGGATTTATGTTTTTTGTAAAAGGAAAAAAAGGCTCATATTTAGCGTGAAGAGATTTTTCATACCAAATGAAAGGATTATATTAAAGAATATGTTACTATAATCTACTATTATTGACTTATGAATTTTTATAAAATTATGTGTATTTGAAAGTTTGTAATGATTACAAACATTTATTTATAAAAGAAGATGAAACTATGTGGTTTATCAAAGCAGTGTCTTAGAATATTTCAATATCTTATTTATGAATTTTAATCATTTGATAAAATTATGCAAGATTGAATTTTTTTTGTGTAGTTTTCACAACTTTGATTTTTTCATATTTAGGAAAATAAATAATTAACTTATATTATCAAATTGCAAGGTCAAACATAACTTCTTTTTCATATTAATTTGATTTCATATGGTAGTTTCATATGACATGCATGTCCCAATAGCTCCTAAAAGAGTCGATAGATTTTCTTTTTTTTTAATCAAAAAGAGTTTAATTTTACGAAAGTTTTAATGTTCTAGATCCCTCCACCTATTGCCTTAAAACTTTTTTGTTGATCCTCATATTCTTTCATATGAAATCAGAATCAATCTTTTTAAGTAACGTAAATTAATTTTTATGATCTATATTTCAAGCTAAGTTTATTACAACTAAAATCGTTAAATATATAAATAAATTTTTTAAATTTATTGGGTTTTTCCTCTCAGGTACCTCAATTTTTCTATTGAATCATTGAACCACTCATAATTTGTTTATTTTAAGCACCGTTGGTTGACGTGGAACCAGGTTTTGTGAGGTATATTGATAGAGGTTACTTATGTTATTCCAGAACTCATTAGTCCAATTAATATGATGTAACTATTTGAGAATAATTGTGTTTTACTTCAAGTCATTTGAACACATCAGAAAACAAATGAAATTAATACACAATTTATCTCCATTCCTTCAATCAAAATCATTACAATATGAACACAATTGAAGATATTTACAAAAGAAAAGCTGATC